GCAGTTGCACCTGGTTTATAATGGAGGCTTCATTAGACGGGGATCATGGGAGCGGACTGATGCTTACCATTAATATCATATAGACCTTGCGTATGAAGCCCTTGCGTATGCTTTGGTCATCGAATGCGAAACTTTTGTCCGCCTCCGGATCTCCGTAGACGCCATTATTGTCACCTGTGTAGAGAAAGAGAGAGAGAGAGAGAGAGAGACAGAGGGAAGGAGATGTTTGAGCTTGCTTAAAGATCAAAAGGTCAAATCAATCCAAAACCGAACCGTATTGAAAGTGTGTATCGCCCATGGCTAAATTTCCTGTGGAGCGCGTCTTGTTCGTTCGACTAATGTGTATTACCTGAGCCCCAATTCGCTTGGTCATACGCCAGTTGGGCTGACAGATTAGCTACAAACACACTCACAGATGTAGATAACAAGCCAGATGGTAAATAACCTATATATAGAACTCATATAGAGAATATGAAATTGTTACCCTTTTTCACAACTTTGGTATTGGTGTGCGCTGATAACGCGTCACTCTCATATCTTGCATATGATACACCTGTGTTTTCTTTTATATATACCAATCGATTGGTATATTATGTAAACCGACCCTCTGAATCACCCACTGGGCCCTGGTCTTATCAAAAATCTCTGATAACACACCAGCACATAGACCACTATTTCGCACCAGGTGGAACATATTTGTAATGTGAATGAATCCAGGAATAGAGAGAGAGAGAGAGAGGCAGCGAGAGAGAGTGAAATGCACATTCTGCAGCTGAACCGATTCGAGTAAAGATACTTTTTTTTCGCATGCCTCATGCTTTGCCGATTATCTTATCTCGCGAACTTTTTGTGCAATTGATTGGACTTGCCTTGCTGGTAGTGATACATTTTATGGTATGTACCCGATATCGATGTTCTTCGCCGATTCACACTCGCACTGCCGTTAGCTTCCGAATAAAACTGGGCAACTATGTTGGGTAGCGCAAGCTCCTAAAAATTTATTTGTTTTTCTCGCACACTTATCGCCAGATAAGAAAACAACCTAAATAGTACAGATAGTGTTGGGCCCGGTCGACGCAGACAACGAGCAAATTTGACTAATCCAGCGCTGACTACGAACTGCTGTCACCTTAACTGTTGCATTTACTTTCGGCCTGGTCCCCGGTGCATTGCCGGCCACGCCCCAGCGCGCTGTGTGGGGAAGACCTACAAGAGTCGCACAAAGCGCCGTCATAGAGCTCACATACACACATACATACAGCATAGACGATAGCCCTTGTTTTTCTGTTTGCTTCTTCTTCTTGTTTAATAAATAAATAGATTCACTTTATTGTTGACTTTACCACAGAGTCGTTACAGAATACTTGCGGGAGGTTTTTGATTGAATAAACTTTGGGTAATTTTTTTTTGGTTTTAGTTTCCTTTTCATATAGTGATTAACAACTGCAAGCGGCGCTGCATATATATGTATATATAATTAATACACGTATATATAACAACTATTAAATGTTTAAGACTATTTATTGTTTATATGCGGTATTTGCTTTTCTTATTTTCTTTTTTGGTTTGGAGCGTTTTAATCAATTTCAGGTATGTGAAATAAGTTTGTTTGAAGCTAATAATTTAAGGAAACTGAAACGACATAAACAAATGTGCATTTCTCTTAACATAACAACAACAACAAAATAGTTAATTATTCATTTCACCTTAAAATTAATACAATCTATAAGGAAAGTTGGCATCAAATTACATACTGTTCTTAGCAACCAAACATATCGAAATATTCAATTTGAAACGCTTTCGCTTCCGTTTCTGTGACTTGATTATGAGATTACGCGGTTATTGAAAATATATCTGATTGTTAGGGCAACATTAATAAGCTAATTGCCTATATTGCCTGTTAACATAAAATTCAAGTATATAAAATAGAAGTTTAATTCCGTAACGACTTCTAGTCCCGCGATGCTCCAATAATGGTTAGAATGTATATGAAAATGTTGACAACATCCAAGTAGAGATTCAGCGCGGCAAATATGTATTCCTCGGGGCTAATCGAGTACTTATGATCGCCACCCATCATCAGCTGAGTGTCGTATATCAGATAGACTGAGAAGAGTAGCGCTCCAAAGGAGGCGTATACAAGCGTTATGATTTTGCCCTTGAAGAATATGGCCACGATGCCAAAGATCATGAAGACCACCATGCAGGCCAGCAATATGCCGCCCATCATGGTGAAGTCCACCTTGGTTTGCATGGCAAAGAGCGTGAGGGCCAGACAGACGGCAGCCGTTATGCCGACAGCCATAAGCACCTGCAAGGGAGATCAATGAACGTTTAATGGGAGTTGAAAAGACATAGGAGGGTCAGTTCGTACCTCAGTCGGTCCATAGCGACTGGCCGATACGCCCAAGAGAAACGATTGAGCCACCGTAAATATTGCCAAGAAGATAAAGTTGGTCGGGGTCTGGCGACGGACACTCTCGCAGCACGCCATGCACAACATCGTCACAATCAACACTGCCAGAGCCACCCAGAAGAGCCATTGATTTCTAGCGACAAACATCCTGGTGCCACTGTGAAAGACAAACAGGGCTACTGCTCCAAAGGTTACCAGGAGTTGACCCTGCCATAAAAATGCAATAACAAATTTAAACCAAAGTGAACTGAAATGGAGATAAAGTTGACTACGTACCATTAGAATGATGTAAACCTTGCGTATAAAGCCACGACGGATGCTCTGGTCGTCAAACGAGAAGTTTTTGGGCTGACCCTCGGGATCATCGTAGGCCCCATAGCCCGTTGCAGGTGGTGGTTGTATGAAGCCCGGCTGTGGAGCATAGCCGCCAGGCGGTGGGCCCTGACCGTAAGGTCCCTGGCCGTAGGGTCCTTGCGGATACGGTTGCGCGCCTCCCTGGCCGTACGGCGGATAGCCGCCTTGTGGCGGTCCTTGCGGTGGGTAGCCCCCACCGTAGCCACCTTGTGGTGGATACCCGCCATAGTTGTACTGCTGATTCGGATCTGTGAATGGATACTTATTTATTCATCTCATTTCAATTAGCTAATTATTCGCTCATGCTATTTGGAGCTCTATAAAAATTAAATATTCTAAAACTGAACTCCACGCATTTATGAACAAAACAATCGTAAAGAACATCTAAGAGATGACGTCAGTACCTAATGAAATATTTCGTTCAACAGACTTATGCGGAGAAATGATTAAATTAATAAATGAGAAAAATGCATTCTTGGAATCAGTTTTAATCAGCATCATGAGTATGAAAAAATAAATACATATTTTAATTTTCTTTATAAAAATATATATTATTTAACCACATACATATATGTATGTATGTAGATTAATTGCTTCAAGACTTCGTTTTGTAAAAAGTACAGTCATTAGTAAGTTAATTTAAATTAGTTTTTCCATCTTTAAAGTGTTTTACTGACGTATAGATAAGAAACTTTCCAAGAATATTATTTATCTTAAGCTGCCTTTCCATTGACGTAGAAAAACATGAGCAAAGATTGGCCGAATGAGGTATAAAATGTTTCAAGTAAACATATTTTATGTTTTATGAAATTAGATGATATTTCATATATGTACATATCTACTTTGTGAAGATATGAAGGGTAAATGGTATTTGTTTACAGTTTTCCTGAGTTATGAATTATATGTATGGCTTTCATTTATAGCCTCTGCGATAAGATAAGAAACCATCGAACCAAGGCCTCGCTAAATTAACAAATAAAACTAACTTAAATGGGTTGCACGACTTAAATGCTATATGCAAGAACAGAGAGACTCAACAGAAGCATGCGTAGGGGTGGTACGAAACAGAAAGCAAAACCATATGAACTAGTCAACAAATTTATTTTAACAAAAACCAAAAAAAAAGGCAAAATAAATTAAACCTTGATATTGAGGATATTGTGGAACGCTTTGCCACGACATTGTTGATATTGTTTTTGTCGCTGTCTGAGCTCAACTGAACTGAACTATCCGCTCCTACAGATAGCTATAGACAAGGGGTCACTATATACGAGTATTCACTGTAAAGTAGACCCAAGAAACCGTTAGCTTAGTCTGCTTATAAAAACACTCACCTTGCATTTCGTTATTGGTGTCGCTCGATATTTACTATTAGAGATTCGTTTACCTGCAAAAGAGAATTAATATCGTAATGGAATTGTCACATTTAATTATGTTTAATTAATTCATTTCTTTTAATAACCAGTTCCGCTTGTGCTAGCTAAAAACACGTAAATATGACGTGTGAATTTGCTGCAGATGTTCACATAGTCATACGCATACAAAAATTTCAGTTATGTACGTGTTTAATCATACATATCTACATATACATGTATGCAAGAGAGTGTGTAAAATAATAAGTCACCATTTAAAATCGCATTTGGAACCGATGCACTTATTCTAGAACTTTTCTTCTTCTAGTTAGTCTGTTTAACGTAATTTAAATGTTATATATTGGTTGGTGACTCACTCGGCAGCCCACCTCACAAAAGAAATTGGGGAACAACCAGAAACACTACAAACACCTGTCCTATCTTTGTTTATCAAACAAATATGTATGTTCTATAAATAGACGAAAACATCGAAATATACCTTGTGAAATACGCACACGAATTGCACTATAAACAAATATAACAAACTTCGCGTCAAGTGTGTTTCTTCTGGAAAATCTGCTATTCAGTGATAAATGAAATATCGATATAGTACCATTAACTAGAGCATCGATAAGTTTGATTGAGCTGAGTACGGTGGTAATTTTTATTGACTGCACAAAAGCTGGAATAAACAGCGCTCTGTTTTTAAATAAATGTTTGACCTATATTACACACATTTAATAAATTTTAATATTTATTTATGCATAGGTTATATTTATCTTAAGATAAAAACTATAAAAAAATTTTCAAGCAGTATCAGTAAAATATATCGAATAGATATTTTTTTATCGTTGCCCTCTATCGATATGAGTAGACAAAAACCACCTAAATAATACCAACTGCACAACGGCCGAGCATGCTGCAATAGCTTCCGACACTCGTGTAATCTTTTCGTTTGTGTATTAAGAGGCTACGAAATATCTGGTAAGCATGACTGCAAGTACCCTCAAAGTCAAGAAGTTCAAAGCAGCAAAGGCTAATCTTGTCCTCAAAGTGTTTTAGGTTTAGGTTATGTGTGTGCACTGCACTTAAACAAAGAGGATGTGGCTCCCATTCCATATGTAATGGGAAATGTGTGGGGGTGACTGAACTGCAGTAAGAAACCGGCAGAAATGGCTTGCAATTGTAATACATATGCAAATCGGTGCACGCTACATTAGAGAAATTTTATAAATAGAACAAATCTGTTTGTGCATGTATTTATACATATGTATGAATGTGCGTGACGCAATAGTTGAGTGCCGGATGCGTGCCCTCCGCTCGCCTGTTGCTTATCACGAGAACTGTAAAATTATATACTCTATATTTATTTTACAGCCGCTTTTGTTGCATTCCAAGAAATGGTTGAGGACAAGGAGAATACAGCCAGTGCTGGGCAGGAGCCGGTCTCCAAAAAGGCAGCCAAGAAGCAGGCTAAGTTAGCCAAGGTAAGCGGCGACGTGGCAAAGTCTTTGCTGATAACATTTATAATTGATGTCTTCTATACTATCTCTCACTCACTCTGTTTAGAAAGCTGAGCACAAAGCCGACACTGCCGCTGCTCTCGCTGCAAATGAAGCAGCTGGCGACAGTGCAGCCGATCATGCAGCGGCCCGCTATGGCCTCTCCGAGATGATACAGTCGAAAGATAAGCGAAGCGAGCGCGAGTTCGTCACGGTGTCCGATCTGAATGCTCATGTGGGCAAGGGCCTGGTCTGGGTGCGTGGCCGTGTGCATACGACTCGTGCAAAGGGCAAACAGTGCTTCCTCATTCTGCGCCAGCAGAGCAGCACGGTTCAATGCATTCTGGCTGTGGGCGACATCATTTCCAAGCAAATGGTCAAGTTTGCCGGAAAGTAAGTAAATCAACTTCATTCTTCAATCAACTAAAATTGATTCATTCGTTTTCATTTCCTTGTTCGCAGCATACCCAAGGAGAGCATCATTGACATCCAAGCGAAAGCAGTGGCTGTGCCCACCAAAATTGAATCCTGTACGGAGCAGTTGCTGGAGTTGTCTGTGGAGCAGATATTCGTCATATCTCAGGCGAAGGCTCAGCTGCCGTTGCAAATTGAGGATGCATCTCGACCCGAGAATGCCGACGATGCCGAGGGACTTAACATACGCGTTAATCAGGACACGAGACTGGATAATCGTGTGCTTGACCTACGCACACCAGCCAATCAGGCCATCTTTCGCCTGGAGGCTGGCGTCTGTCGTCTCTTCCGCGACATTCTGACCGAGAAGGGTTTCACCGAAATCCACACGCCCAAGATTATTTCTGCTGCCAGTGAAGGAGGTGCCAACGTATTCACCGTGAGCTATTTTAAGGGTATGTCGCTTTAGGAATATATATATGAATATATGTGAATATGTAGTTATACTATATATTTTGTAAATTTTGTAGATTCTGCATATCTGGCACAGTCTCCGCAGCTGTACAAGCAAATGGCTATCGCAGCCGACTTCGACAAGGTTTACACTGTTGGCGCCGTGTTCCGCGCCGAGGACTCAAATACGCACAGGCATTTAACCGAGTTCGTGGGACTCGATTTGGAGATGGCATTCAAATATCACTATCACGAGGTGCTGCACACAATCGGCAATACGTTCACAGCCATCTTTAAGGGCCTGCGTGACAAGTACAGTCGCGAGATCGAAGCCGTTGGGCAGCAGTACAAAGTGGAGCCGTTCAAGTTCTTGGAGCCGCCGCTAATACTGCAGTTTGCTGAGGGCGTGGCTATGCTGCGTGAGGCTGGCATTGAGACGGGCGATGAGGAGGATTTGTCAACGCCAAACGAAAAGCTATTGGGTCGTCTGGTTAAAGCCAAATACGACACTGACTTTTACATCCTTGACAAGTTCCCACTGGCGATACGACCGTTCTACACCATGCCCGATCCCAACAACCCGATGTATTCCAACTCGTATGACATGTTCATGCGCGGCGAGGAGATTCTGTCGGGCGCTCAACGTATACACGATCCAGAGTACTTAATTGAACGTGCCAAGCACCATGGCATCGGTGGGTCTTCAATAGTCTAATCCTATTCTATGGCTCATCTTTTATTTCCTTCCTCTTACAGATATTACAAAAATTGCGGCTTACATCGAATCCTTCCGCTACGGCTGTCCACCACACGCTGGCGGCGGCATTGGCATGGAGCGCGTCGTTATGCTGTATCTGGGCTTGGATAACATTAGGAAGACTTCAATGTTCCCACGTGATCCTAAGCGATTAACACCTTAAACGTGATTGATTTAAATACAAGAAGAAAATGGAAAAGCTCTTATCTTAATGAATGAAATTCGATAAAAATTATTTTAATTTCCTCCAACTTTCCAAACTGTGAACAGCCTTCCCAAGTCTCAGAATTTTGTATTTTAATTGATCCCCGCTGCTCCTTAAGTTGCGACCATCACATTAAGAACTTGCATACTGCAAAGTTGTTTGACAACGAGAACTGTAAAGACTGTTTAGGGTCAGAATGTGTTTAAAACCGTTTAAAATAAATCTTTGCATGTGTCTTTAGTAATTTTTATTGTGTATCATTTGTCTTGCAGGTAGATGATATTCTTTTTTTTAGGTAAATGAAGAAACAATTTCAACATTGTATTTGTGCCTTATCAATATCATATCAAAGATAAGATTTTCTTATCAAATCAAAGCAAGATATGGATAATATCTTATTCGAAAATGGCTGCTGATAAATAGGCGAATATTGGTAAACAAGAAGGGAAATCTATCGAGTACATATTCATCCAATTTTAGGAATTGGAAACTTTATTAAAACATATACATATATATTTGCGCGAATTGAAGGTGTGAGAAACACTTTATCTTATCTTATTGAAAGGTATTTATTTTGTTTAATCAAAGTTTCTTATTTTACAATATAAATAATAGTATGTATATGCGCCACATTAATGTAGAAAAATTATCAATACTGACAAAAATTACTGTTCCACAGGTAAAATCTATGAATTTTACTTACTATATAAATTAAAAACAATAAATATTCTTGTGTATGTATGTATAAATACTGTAATATGTCTTTCTTAGTTGTAATGCTGGCGTGCCACTAAATTTAACTCCCGATACTAAACTTTCATTAAATACTATTTCCTTTTAGAATGCTCTATATAGAGTCAGCTAAATCGAAGGACACTCAATAATAATAATATTATTTACTGAAATTATTTGTCACTGTTATAGGGTACAAGTATATGTTGACTTGAATAAATTGTTCCTTTCACTAATTTAAACTCTGTTCTAAATAGAGATCTCGGTACTCCTTACGTGAAGTACGCAGACTCAGCAGACGATATTACCAGAGGCTAGATAACCAAGTAAACCTACTGACAATTAACCTACTGGATTACACCACAAACACCAGATCTGGTATTCCAGCCGCCATTCAATTGATGTATGTTTCAGTCAATAAACTCAAACACAAAATGTAAGCCTGTACAAATGTAAGCCTGTATTCATTTATTCATAAGTTGACAGATTATATTTAAATAAATAAGCGAAAAAAAAAAATTAATTTAAATGGGCCTTCCTTCGACTCCTAGACTTATGTATTCACAATATGCTGTTGTGCACATTAAGCAAATTATAAATGCTAAATGCTGTTAATGTTTTGGTTTGTTAGACCATTAATCTAGTATATGGAAATCAGAAAAAGAATTAATAATTAAAAAATTATTTAAATTGAGATTAAAGCTCTCGAAATCGAAAACTTTATAACTTATTAACCAATTCAATAAAGAAAATTGTAATTTTTAAGTAAAGTCATCTATGGTATGTAAAATCGATATGAAAACCCAATTTATTTTATAAATGTTTTGAATAACTGGTAGATTTTACTTAACAAAAATTTGCGAGCATTATTTTTTCAACATATTCAATCATTTAGTAGCCAAGAAGATACTTATTATGCATAAGTATTCCTTGATTATTCTCATTCATTTTTACAGCGATTTTTGTATGAAGAGCGAGTCTTTAAGGAGAAAGTGAGTCATAGGTAAATGAGGTAACTTGTTGAAAATTTATTCGTCTATAAAACCCAGTCCCATTCCAATGAAAATGAAAATGCTTTATATTATAGGCAGAATATAAAATCGTCAGTGTATCTGCATCTTCTGTACCTGTACTTAACAATAAATAAAGTCAAAAAAGTTCTCAGCTTTCTCTTGAATTAAATAGATAATTATTTCTAATAGGTTTTATTTATTGACAATGCGGAGAAAGTTACTTTAGCTGCAATTTGATAAGTTAAGCATTGCGTATAATGTATATATATTTGATTGTCACAATTAAAGTTGTTATTTTGTGTAATTTATTTCTGTCGGCCATTGATTAAGAGTTCATTATAAAACAATCATGTTAATGCATTGTCCATAAGCCTGATGAAGATTCACTGAAGGCTGTTTGACATACTCTATTCAACTTATCGGATAAGTGTTCGCTATGCACTCACACACACTCACACACATACGCAAACACCTTGTCAACGAGAAGAGCACAATAAATTTTATTCAGTCTCAATCAGATTATTATCAATACAACGTACGTATACGTCACGTTGTGTCCAACTGGAACACTGTTGACACAGTTGGCAAATACTTTTCGGTCAAACAAAAGGACGAATACAAATTCCATTCAATCTGTGTGCGTTACGTACGTACGTACGTGTTGCACAGCAACTGTGCGTGGCTTCTGCTATCGCCGAAACGGACTTTAAAATCAGACAACAGTGCGACAAGCAGCCGAGAGCCCGACCATAACAGAACAGAACAGAACAGAACAGAACGGAACAGAAAGAGAGAGAAGAACAGGGCAGGAGCAAATATTTCCTGATATTCGAGTACGAGAGTCCGTCTACTTCAAGACACAATTGAGACGCACTCCATTTTATTTTCACACCGCGGCATCGTTTGTTCAGACACCGCGCACCAACACTAACAACAGCAACAGCAGCAGCACTGGCAATAACAACAGCAACAACAACAGCGACTGCACGTAAATGGTACATTAACACACACACACAAACACAAGTGGGCGTTGCTTAATGCTGGCACACAGCGCACACACTAGTTGTCTCGCTCTCGCTCATGCACTCGACGGCCGTGGTGAGCGAGACGGCGATTGCTCGAAATGCCATTTTGTTTGCGCTTCTGCTGCGCCGCTGCCGCTGTCGCGACTGCATCCATCGAACAACTGCCAGCAGCTGGCAGCCAGTTTGTTTTCTCCCTTCCAATCGAGCGGCAGCGGCGTTTCCGCTCGCGTACTTTTCGACGCGTTCTCATCTCAAACCCAGCCAAAAAGTGAGCGATCGCAGCAAATGCAATTCGGTTTGAGTGCAATTAAAAGATTTATTCGAAATCGGCGTCGCCATCGCCGTCGTCGATGCATCTTCCACCTTCACTTGGAGCTAAACTAATGCTGCAGACGTAACGTAAACTAATTGTGAACGTGAATGTGAATGCGAATGCGATTGCGAGCATCGGCCGTTTGTCTCCACCATCTCCGACACAGTCTACGTCGCAGTCTCCGTCGCCGTTTGCCGCGCTGCCGAGTCGCAAGAATTTATGGAATTTGGCATTTGTGGATTTAGCGAAAATATTTTCATTGAGTGCGCGAGCAAATGTTTTTGTGTACGCTTCGCGTTCAGATCTCGTTCCCTTGCCCGTTCCCCTGTCCCGCTTACCCCACCCCCGTTCCCCTCAGCGATCTAGCTTCCGTCGCAGCCATAAAAGCAGCGCTAAAATCTTAAATATTCACGTGTAAATTCCGGTGCTTATCAATTTAATTACTATTTAAATTAACTGCAAGCCAAACGCAAAGCGCGTGCTTTAACGACGGCATTAAACCGTCAATGTCTGTGCAAATCTAACCAAATGTGAATCAAACAAAGCCCACAGTGTTTATCCTACACAGTACCAATACAAATCAAAGGAATATACCTATATATCTATATGCATATATATCTATAAATATACGTATATATGCTTATTTATAAAGTGCATGAAACAGAAACAAATTGAGAACAGCTCGCAGAGCAAAACATTTTTCACGAATTGGATTAAATTTTACCTGTTTGTAGCGTAAGTATATAGAAATCTTTGATAATATAAAAAATATATGTATATGTGATGGAAGTTATATATATTTCAATCAGAATCTAAATATGCAAGCTTAGACATGAGAGAATGATATTTACATTGAGTGTGGAGAAGACCTCATGAAATATTTGCTATTAGTTTTATAGATATCTCCCAATGTATGAGACTTACATTATTTAGGAAAATAATTATAATTAGATGTGTTTCTAATACATATATATTTTGAAAATTCTTGCTTTAGATTCTTATTATAGATTGGATTTAATGAAAATGTAGAGCAAAAAATTCATTGAAGAACCTCTAAATTATTTCAACTTTATTCACAAAGAACATTACAATGATAATTATAGACTAATATTTAGTTGGAGTGTGTATATAAAACTGACAGATTGAATTAGACGAAGACACCAGAAGCTGAGTGAATACTGATAGATATATGCAGTTGTAGATTTCAGTATTCATTCGTGTTTAATTGAATATGCCAAATGAAATTAGTATCACTGTATGCATGCTTCATATACATATACAGCTATATATATATATATATATATATATATATATGTATAGATAATTGATATATATACATACATATTGACTATGATAAACTGCTTTTAAGCATTTCCGTAAATTATTAGTAATTGACTAAAGTATGAAAGCATAGAGAACCGACTATTTTTTTTTTTTTTTTTTTTTAGTCTATTTTTCTCTTTTTATACTAAATTGAGTTCTCTTCAACATAAAAGTTGTGTAGTTTTCGAAAAGTATGGCAAGTCGCTTAAATATCATTTTTGGCATAATAAATCATTTTTAATTTTGCTGCAACTTTTACAATATTTATCAATATTTCCAAAATATTTTTCCGTACACAGTTCAAAGTATTTTATTTTACTCTAAGAGAGATAATAAAATAATAACAATAATCCAATAGTTAGATAAAATTGATAAGCGAATTTGAAATGTGTTGTTTTTTAATGATTGGTAATAATTTGAGTTAATAGACATTCCTCTAATACGACAGCTATTGACTTTTTATATTTATTTTAAAAAAGAAAGATAAAATGAAATCATAAATATATTTATGGCAATTTGTTTGTTTTCATTTTTGTTTTGTTTTCATATATGTCATATTCATATATGATAATATAATATAATATATTTAATAATATATATAATATTTAATACTAATATATAATAAATTATATATGAATGTATAATAAATGTCATTCAAAATGTTTGTATAAAATAATTCAATTAAAATTTGACAAATTATTATCTATAATATATATATATATTATATTATAATATATACACAAGTAGATATATATATGTATATATTTGTCATTTATTATTGAAAATTTAACAATGAAATATTGCTTGAAGAAATGTGGCTGACAGAATAAATTGAGATAAATATTAAAATTCTTGTCAGAACGAAGATTTGCGGTATCATATATCTATTTATAGGACGAATATATATTATCAAAAGTAATTTTAAATTCCTTAGTCACCTTTAATTGCGTAGTTAAACTGTTATATAGGTACTCAAAATACAATATAGGTCTCAAAAATATGAAGTATATCAGAAGTAAGCAGAAAACTCAGATAATTAACTAAGTATGTATGCAAAAGATATACATATATATCCGTTATAGCGCATAGAGAAATTTCTTTGAGAGGGATCTCTATTGCACTATTACGTTATCTAATTATGTGTAGAGGAACTCGTATATTTCACGCAAGACAACAATTTTAATGCATTTCATTGCCGTCTTTCAGCGCTTTTTTTTTTGTTTGTTTCAACGGAAACTCGGACAAGGGAACGGCCCCATAATGGATGCCAGGAAAGCAGCAGCAGCAGTAGCAGCAGCAACAATAATAACAATAGCAGCAGCCAACAAGCAACATCAAACAGGCAACATCAACAACAACAACAACTAACAGCAGTCAACAATGTGGAAATGATAATTGCAATTGCCTGCGCATAGAAGCAAAGCCAAAGCGGTTGAAGAAAGCTGCAGGAAAAAAGCCGAGGAAAATTCATCGAAAGAAGTTCGCTTAGCCAACAAAAGAAAACCAAAAACAAAAAAATAACAATACAAAAATAAGTAAAGACAAAAAGTAATTAAAGCTCTTGATACAAACGCGATGGTGTTTTACAATATGTAAATATAATTAGCCGAGCGGAGTTTTCATTCCTGGAATTCGCCATTGCCAGCGGAGTTGGCAAAAAAGACAAACACAAATACAATAGCAAATACAGTAACAAATACAACAACAGAGCACGCATACTGCAAGTCGACTAGAGAGAACCGGTCTTATAATTACTCTGTACTCCATCTCCCTCAACAGCACCCCATCCCACTTCCACGGCGAATATAGTTTAAGAGCTGATCTTTTCTTTCTTTCGCTCTCTCATCTTTGTCGGCCTAGAGCCCGAGCTGTGGCTAAGGCCTGGGCGCGACCAAAACTGATTCCAAAAACAGAAGCAGAAACATAAACAGAAAAAAAAACTGCAGACAGCAAACGGCCAACGGCAATTGGAATAGCAATTGGCTGTCAAAGCAAAAAGGAAAACTGCAAATTTGTGGAAAAAGCTCGCGGAAAACTGTGATTACTGTGATTAGTGTTGTGCGTGTGTGCATCTCTCTCTCTCTCTCTCTCTCTCTTGCTCTCTGTGCGTCTGTGTGTGTACGTGCGTTCATTATAATATACACCTGTGCGAACAAATTTCAATCGACAGATCGGGATTTGAGTGCGTTGTCGGCCACTGCAACTGCGACGATGGCAGTGTCCTGCCCAGAAGTTATGTACGGTGCCTATTATCCATATCTGTATGGGCGCGCAGGACCAAGTCGTTCATTTTATCAATATGAGAGGGTAAGTTAACTCTTAACTCTTAGCTAAATAATAATGCCATTCCATTTAAACTTTATAACTACAAATCCTATGCCACAGCCACTATCTCTAATCGTCTTTTCATTCAAAGACTTTTACCTTAATCATTTAGCATACAAATTATTCTTGGTTGACAGACTTGACTTACCATTAGGTTGTTTACATAATTTGGCTCTGTTGTCGAAAATGGGAATCTGACTTTATAAGGTGTCTTCCAGCTTTGCCATCTGCTGCTTTGTCTCTGTTTAAGCTCTACTTCATTTGAGGATATTTTACTTAAGAGTTGCTACAATTTGATCTAGCTGTGATTTGGAGTTATGCTTTAGTTTATATTGAACACTAGAAGTATACGATATTTGCTAATCATAAATAGATCCAAATAGGTCGAATTGTTTCAATAGCAAAGAAGAACAAAAAAATAAAAATAAATAAATTAAATAAATAAATAAATAAATAAAATAATATAAAACAGCGACTCTAAAAGAGTTAAATATTGTTAAAATAAATAAAAAATTTCAAATATTTTATATAAATATCTGTAGCAATGATAATTTGGATTATATGCAGAATTAATTGCTATGAAAATTTATTGCGAAATAATCTAATAAATCCAAGATTTAATAGATTATTTTGAAATCTTTTTTCATAGAAACTGACAGGCAGCATCTTTTAGCTTTGACTCAATATTTGTTCTTTTAGCATATTAGAAAAAAATTAAATAATAATAATAACAAATTTGGATTGAGCCATAGTTTTTTTAAAGCAGTTTTTAAAAAAAGCTAGAAGACGTTAAGAAACCATTATTTTTATGCTATCTCAATTTAAAAAAAAAAAAAAAAATTAAAATCAGTAAATTCTATTTTTTGCCATTAAGTTCGAAATATACCGAAAGTTGTTTAAAGTATTTCAAGTCAGCATTTATATATATTTGCTGAAAACTGGCTAGATAAGACAACTTTTCCAACACAATTGTGAAGCTTAAATTTCCGCATTACTAAATATTTTAAATTTATAAATATATCATAAATATATGATATAATAAATGCAATATATATTAAAATTATATTTATGCTATATTTAATTTAATATTTAAATGTAATATATTTATAAATTTAATAATGTATTTCAATATATTTGCTTATGCGTAGGCTCAGTATATTATTTTTTTGACGGCCAACAGAAATCTACAATTTGAAGGCGATTAAAATCAAAATTCTATGAACACGCAGAGTTTAAATATTATTTATATTGAATGAGCAATGGCATACCAGTTTTTTGTTGTATTAACTTAAATTGTTCAGTTTAATCCAACTAAAATTGGTATGCCATTTCTGATTCAATATAAAAAATATACAAAACTCGCACGTTAATCGAGCTTTTTGATATTTTGGTATAATGAGGGTCTATAGTTACTTAGGTGGGTGTGTTTCCACTTTGAGCCCATTGCAAATGGACTAATTATTAGTTTAGATCCACTGAACCAGGGCATGTATCAGGCTAGTTTCATGGCATGCATACATAGCTACCAATTGTTTATAGATGCTAGATGACCTCAATGTATTTTTAATTAATCATAGTTGATTAAATGTGAGCAAACATAATAATTATAAACACGCACAATTCGAAACGCTGGCCGTTGGACATTGGGCACATTTAGAGAGAGGGAGACAGACAGAAACAGAAAACGACAGAAAGAGAGAGAGAGAGAGAGAGAGAGAGGGGGATGGCGAGTAGGTATAATTAAATCCACCTAACAAATCATAAGAATTCACGCAAAACGCAAATCGTTTTTCGATGTGGACGCAGCAGCAGCAGCAGCAGCAGCAGCAGTTGAAGATTCAAGGAATTCCGCCAGCAAATGTCGCTTTGTTTTCTTATTGTTGTTGTTGTTGTTTTTAGTGCTAACATTGATTTCGAAGATATTGTTGATTTTTTGTATGCCTGTGCGCATGTATGTGTTTGTGTGTGTGTGTGTGACAAGTACAGAAAAGTTCTCACGATGCCAGCAGCGCTTCACAGTGCTGCCCAAAAGGGACATTCGCATCGAATCTGAATCCGAAACTGAAACTGAAACTGGGACTGCGACTGGGTCTGGGACTGCGACTGAGGCTGAGTCTGTCTGTGGGTCTGCCGGCACTGTGTCTTGGGTCTGGGTGCCTGGACTTGGGTCTGGGCTCTGTCCTCTGTCCTCCGTTTGGCTGCTGGGAGCTTGTCGCTGTGGCACAAAGAAATTCTTGTGTCGCAAGTTCCAATTATACAAGGCCGCGGCACCAAATCGAAATTGGCCTTTTATGTAAGTAACCGATACGACACGATTCTGATTCTATGCTTTTGCATGACCATAAAGAGCTCCAGATAAACTCAAAAAAGATCGACACTGAGAGCGTCGCAGAGCGAGAGAGAGCCTGCCTTAGGGCTCGCTGCGGCTGGCCAATCGCAGATTGAGTCAGCAGCCAGCCTGCTGACCGGAGCGTTGATCGTTGATCGCTTGCCGCTAACCGCTGACCGGTGACCGGTTTATTTGCCCAGGCTCCAAAGCTCGGCCGAGCAGTTTTGTCGTCCCGTCGACACTTTGCCTTCCACTTTTTTGTTTGGGGTTTTCTGCCGGGTCTGTGTGTGCCCTTTCTCTTAATTTATTGTGTGTATCGCCATTAGTTCTTGCCGAGCACTTCAAAACGGCACAGCCAGAGCGCGTCCACGCTCAGGCCAAGGCTCAGGCGACACAGCGATCAGCCGATAAGCCTGCAACAACAACAGCAACAACAAATGGCAAGCACAAAGTTAAAGTCGGAGATGTCGCAGGTTCGTCTGCCCCACAGGCCACAGCCAGGTGATTTATGCCGTGTGAGCTGCTCGCTGAGCGCTCAGCATAATCGAAATATCGCTGCAGCTAATAACAGAGAGAGGAAAAAAGCTAAAATCAACTGCAGCTGCAGCCACAGCCACAGCCACAGTCGCTGCTGTTGCTTTGAGATACTTTTGTATCTGCGCATTGTTCGCACGTCGGCTACTGCACTTGGCCGGGCAGCGATCGTGTCGCCCGATAAGCGGCCAGGCGGCAACATATTGATTATGTGCTTAAGCCCGATTGACGGCCGCAGATATTGCCATCGATACAGATACAGATGCCGAGGACTGAGCTCGATGTATGGAGATGCAGATACTTTGCCTTGCCGAGTCCTGCTCGATGACGGTGCAACTTTTGCCCTATCTAATTAGTTTTGCCTAGGTGGGGTGGGCGCGGAGGCGGGGGCGTGACAACAAATTAAGACCTTTTGTAAACAGGCCGCAGCAGCATAAAGTGAGCTGTCGCAGCAACTGTGTCAGCTGCTGCTGGCATTGCTCTGGAATGTATCTGACACTCATACACCCCCATCCCCCCACCCTCTCTCTAGCCAGTTGGTGCATTGTGCTGCTGCACATAAATCATGATTCGGTAGCCACGAGCTGCTGTCGATGCCTGCGCTGCACTTTTCAAATGGATCGTGCTGGTTAACCCATTATTAACCCCTCGACTGTCTCATAATTGGCCTGCGCCTTGGGGCGTGGGCGTAGCTGCTTTAAATTTAGAAGCGTTTGCTCGCAAATGTGCCGTCGCGGGGTTATCGGCCACTTATAGAACGCTTGTGCTAATGGGCTCATTAAAGAGCAGAAGGCGAGCAGACGTCGGGAAGGTGCAACGCTCACAGAGGCGTTGGCTAGAGAGGGAGAGAGGGGGACGAGGGATGGGGGTTGTCGCAGCGCGCTCGTAAATTGTCTCGAGCGCCGCATTATGTTTGACACGTCGCCAAGCCGTAGAGATTGCGGCGTGATTATCGCCTTGTGAACGTCTCCGGACTGTGACCTCCCGCCCCACCATCTTCCCCCGCCGCCCAAATGGGTTAGCTGCCCTTATTTTCTGGGCAACTGCGTGACAATATGCGAACGCTCGTAAATTTAATGGCCTCACTGCACATTTTCCATCAACATAAATTTTCGTATTGTGTCATTTTCAATTTGCACCGACGCGCCCATAACTCATCTAGGCTGCCAAACTACCAAACTGCCTAACTCTCTGAATCTCTCACTCTCTATCTGACTGCTCAGCTAATGCCATCTCTTTCTATGCCTTTCAGTTCAATCAGGATCTGTACTCGTCCTCGGGCGTGCAGCTGGCCGCCTCGTCGAGCGCCTCCGGCAGCTCCCACTCACCCTGCAGCCCCATTTTGCCGCCCTCGGTGAGCGCCAATGCAGCGGCAGCCGCCGTTGCTGCCGCCCACAATTCGGCAGCCGCGGCCGTTGCGGCCGTTGCGAATCAAGCCTCCTCCTCTGGGCTGCAGCTGGGCGGTGTGGGCGGCAGCGGCGTTGGCGTCGGCGTCGGCGTGGGCAGCGGACCGGCCAGCGGACTGCTCGGCTCCAATCTGCCCATTGGCAGCGGCGCCTCCAGCGCCGGCCTCGGCATGAGTCCCGTGCTGAGCGGCGCCGGGCCCGGCCACGGCCTGCACAGCCGGACACACCAAACCAAAGAAGAGGATCTCATCGTGCCGCGCAGCGAAGCTGAAGGTAAGCTAAAACTGAAATTTGTTAGCAGGTGAACGGGAGAAGAAGAAGCTGAAGTTCATATTCATTGCTTGCGATGCTGGAAGGCATGGGATAACTCGGTCTAAAATGTCTTTATGAATATATGAGATATATATAGATGAAAATGTGTCTCATCTGTTAGTTAAAGAAAGAATATAAAGAACTATAAGAGAAGATAAGAGGGAAAATAGAAATGTATGGAAGTATAATACTTTATATATTGAGAGCTTATAGTTTTCAAAATTATAACATATATATTTTATAATTTGATTTTTATAAATTGAAATACTTTATTCAATATATAGTATATAAATCTTGAAATGTGTCTCTCAGGCTATTCGCATGGGTTCAAATATTCCTGTTATAACGGCAACCGAATAACATGCAAGCCGATGACTTGACTGATATGTGTATAAAAATTATCGCAAATAAATTGGCTATTATATGGATTTTATATAGATATGCATGATATAAAGTACACACGGAGTAAAATATTGGGATTGCTATTGAGCTGAAATTGAGAATAAATTATAGAAAAAAAAACAAATTTGACAAATTCATATTAATACAAATTTATAAAAGTTAATTTTTGTTTAGAGTTAAACTAAAATAATTTCAAGAAAAACCTTGAACTTTTAGAGAAAATACTAAAATTGACAATGAAATTTAAAAAGTGATTGTGAACAGTGTTTTAGGGATTATTAATTTCAAATAATTCAGCTCTTGAAATGTTTTATAAATACATATAAATTTTATCAATATTTATAATATTTATTATGTCTATAATATTTTCACTATGTCAATTTTATCAGTTGTTTATTATTTATTATTTCCATAATATTTTCAATATATTATTACTTCTATCAGTTTCTATAATGCTTTCCATCTTAGCCTTTTCAGATATTCCGATTTTATAAAGAGTAGCTTAGCTAGCTTTAGTTTTCTGCATAGCTAAAGAAACTTTTATATAAATTTTTAATATATACACTGATATATTGTGTTTACTTATATGATTGTGCGATAGTGAGACATACATGTGTATTTATGCGTTTAATATCCAGCTTAGTGAGCGATAAATCCAATAAAAATAAGCATGTTTATTCACATTGCTGGCTGACAGCGGCGAAGATCGATTGTTCGCCATGGCTGAAGGAATGTGCTGCCGTTTAAATGTACCGAAGAACGTGATGGAGTGACCGAGTGAGTGAGTGAGTGAGAAAGAGACAGAGAAAGAGAGAGATCTATATGTATAGAATGTTAAAAAGAGAGAGAGAGAGAGAGAGAGAGAGAGGGATAGCGAGATTGGTTAATTAATTTGCACATTTTTGAGATTGTTCGCCGACATTCCGACGAGTTAACATTTAATAATTTATATCATATTTTATTGCGGAAATGCAGCAGGCAACAGGCAACAGGCAGCAGGCAGCGAGCGATGCAGCAATGCAATGAACTTCGCACCTCCGTTCCGTTCCGTTCTATGACTGTCATTAAAATAATGAAATATTTGGTATTTGTTTGCAGCGCGCCTGGTGGGCTCCCAACAGCATCATCACAACGAATCATCCTGCTCCTCTGGCCCGGACTCGCCGCGGCATCCGCACTCGCACGCGCACTCCCACGCCCATTCGCATCCGCACTCGCTGCACGGCACGGGGCCAGCGTCCTCGGGCGGCGTCGGCTCAGCCACGGGCGCCATGTCCAAGGAGCTGCCACTGGACACCAGCAGCAGCAGCGGAGGAGCCGGCGGCGGTGGAGGAGGCGGCGGCGGCCTAACCGGCATCGGCGGCAGCAATAGCCAAGGACGCGCTCAATATCTGTCGGCCACCTGCGTTGTATTCACCAACTACTCCGGCGACACGGCCAGCGTGGTCGACGAGCACTTCTCCCGGGCGCTCAACTACAGCAATAAGGAAACAAAAGGTAGGTGCACACACATACTCCCAGTCGCCCCCCTCCGCCCCCCACTCGCTCCCCCTCGACTCACAGTCAGCATTTACATGCTGATCAAAAGAGCCGCACATGTCATGTACTTGTCCCGGCTGTCAGTTTGCGTGTTGGCGTTCGCAATTACCCGGAATCGGCAAGGGAATCAAGCCGGAGCCCAGGCCAAAATCTCATAATTAGCCAGGAATCAGAGCGAGTTATTAAAATGTCGCGTGCAATGCGGAATGAGAGTGGAAATGGGAAATGCAACTGGCAATGGCAATGGGAAGTGCCCATTAAATAGGCCTACGCTCGTTTCCCAGAAATTCAAATTGGAACTGAACTTAAACTATGATCCGATTAGATTCCGTCCCCGTCCCATTCTCTCAGCTGACATAGAAATTGTTCTCCTTCGCTTTGCCTTGCCTTGAAACTATTCAAATGAACCTCGCGTCTGCTGCTTGCAAGAGATGATCAGCGTCTGTCTGCCTTTAGTCAGACAATGCAGCCGAGGCCCCTGCCCTCTGTTCGCTGTCGGCCCTTGCCTTGCAGTTTTGCCCCATTCGCAGTGCCGAATGCCATTGCGTCGCACAATAAACCAAATAAATCAAGTTGCCACTTGCCACTCGCTTGTTCTTTCGATTTCAAAATTAATTACCTCCTTTAATGAAGATAAACGTTTTGTTTGTTCATGCTTGTCCCCGTTCCCTCAACCAGCCGCCCTCTCGCCCACCCTCTCTGTCCTGTCAGCTTTTGTGGCCCGTCACGCAGCTTCTCCTTCGCTTCTCGCATCTCGCATCTCGCATCTCGCTCTTTCATATTCATTTTATTTTTAAATTGTATGCAATTCTTTGTGCTCGCATCTGCTTAGAACACACGACAAACTAAACGAAACACCAAGTACTACATGTGTTCTGCTCTGCGGCTTGCGAAAATGCTTTGACAACTTTCAGTCAAATTTTAAAGCTGTGGCAAGCCTCAAACAAGTTGCCAAAACTCTAACTGAGCCGCAGTCTCTCAATATGAATATTTGGCCAACGTTCAAGAGGAGAGACTAAAAGAGACAGCCTTGCTTCATAGTCTGTCAGCAAATACAATAGCAAACAGCCCTGCTTTGGGCACATGCGGATTGTTGGAAGAAAATACAGTAATCTGGATATACGGTTATTAAGATGAACATTCTGGTGCCCAGACAAACTATATGTTTATTGCGTCTTCTAGACATAACGACGGTTCCTTAGGAGTCATTTTAACCGGGAAAAATATCCACAGTGTGTTACTATAAATATTTAGACAATGCTTAGAATGAGAAAACTAAAATTTCGTAAGTAGAAAAATCAGAGGTAGGAAAAATAGGTAGCTCATGATCAGGGCTCTAAGAATCTATAAATTCGGAGAGCCCTTTTTCCACGCCCGTTTCCTTCTTATTTGGATTTTAAAAGATCTTTTCACTTTTCTGAGTCTCCAGGCATATTACAGCTATATCGGTAAAAATTTCGCCATGCTTCTCAAAAAGAAAACTATATGTATTATGGGTCTCATTGTGGAAAAGGCTTAGAGTTACTCCTTTATAGAGCTCAACGGTTGCAGCTCCTATAACTATATTTAATTTCTTGATGCTAAAATCTACAAGATTCGCAGAGATATAACTTTTGCGCAATTGCTAAAATTTAAATTTTTAAATTTAAAGCTGTAAAAGATGCAATGTATGCTATCAATTTCATATTGGGATTACTTAAAGTTGCTCATATATGAAATTCTTTCTCTAAGCTTTAAATTGTGACGTACATATATGTGGCAAAAGTTCCACTTCAATAATTTACAAATTTATGGTGGCTCATCTAAGGCCATTCAAATTAGCCGAATTCTGCTCAATCTATCAATTAGCAACTGTTTGGTCGTCACACAGAGGCATTTGCATGCTAAGCAGGTCGTTCAGGTAATGTTTATGTTTCGTACGTGTTCTTCCAATTCAAGTTCAGTTCAGCTCAGCTCAGCAGCCACCCACAAAATGTGGCCAATAAACGAGCAGTTGAACAATTTGTGGCTTTATTTCTTTTTACCGCTAATCGCAGTCGCAATCGCAATCGAAATGGAATCGCAATCGTAGTCGTAGCCGTAGAGTCGCATTAAATGCTCCGCTGCCTTTTATTGAGTTTCTGTGGCTTCCAATTCGCCAGGAGGCAGTCAGCAGGGGTGTGTGTGTGTGTGTGCATCTGCAGGGGATGGCTGGGGGGATTGGCTGTGGAGGGGGAGCGACAATGGCTTTGGCTCACAGTTTGGCGCTTTGATTGCGCAATTTTCGGCTCAGTAAAATTTGATTCGACACGCGCGTTAATTGCAAATTCACGTTTATGTTGCCTGAATAAATCCAATCAGATTCAATCACTATTCCAATATCGTTGAGCTACCTGAAAGAGATTGCATAGATGTGTGGGTGTGTGGGTGTATGTGTGTTGGTGTGGTATAGTCAGCAAATATAATTTATTACAGCAAGATTTCATTTAGATGAAATTGTTGAACAAAGCGAGTTTAACTAATTGTAAAATATCTTTTAGCAATTATCTCTTCATATGAGAAGACTTTGGATTAGAAAATCCTGTAATGGAGTATAAAGAATGGAGAATGTAGAAAAGATAATAGACAACAGAGAACAGAGAAATGAAAATAGAAAATATAAAATGGAGGATACTGTATAAAGAAAATAGAAGCGAAAATAGGATAGGATAAAAAATTATAGAACAGAGCATATGGGAAAGAAATGAGGAATGCTCTCATTTCTATGAACCTTTCTTATGAAACTATCAATATAATAATAATATTGAAATATTCGGACTGACCTTTTTAGATAAATTCAATATTTTTAATATGAAAAATTCATCTAGGAAATTATCTTCTTAGCGTTGCCCAAGCTTAAAATTGTACTTCATTTGGACTGTCCTTTTGGATATTAATCGTATTTACAATAGGAAAAATATTTAATTTATTATCAAGGAGATCTTTCGATAAAAAGTTTATAATATCTAAATAATTCTCTAAAATACAAAAGGAACTTTGATTTTAAAGACTACTGTTCAGTTGTTCAATTTAATGCTATAGACTATATATAAAATTTGTATTAACAAATATTATTTTTCGTATTTTCAAATAATATTTTTCGAACGATATTTAATTGTGAATATGAGTTATCAAGCATTACTGGGCTTGGGCTGCTTATCTATATTATATTTTTACTCAAGTTTTATTAATATACTAAATCAAATAGTTGAAAGGATTCACACAAACAAAAAAATATGAAATGCAGCAACTTCAGTAATTTTTCTTTAGAAACGTGAATTTTGTAAAAATAAATTTACTTAAAAATATATATTTTTTTAAATTAACTGAAACGTTAATTGCTATAATCAAGATCTTAAGAGAAATTAAATATAATTCTTGACTAATATTAGTCGAATCAAATGGGTTTATTAAAATTGTTTGGTATTTTAGCTAATGTATAACCACTAGAAAACCACTCACCCACTGAGCTGAGTTGTGAAACTTGCGCAATTCAAACGTAAAGAAAACAAAACAAAAATAAATTTGAAAAGAAAAAAAAAAAACAAAACACGAAACAAAAAACTTTATTCACGTTTCACTTGTTGTTGTTGTTGTTGGTTTTTTATTTAGCTTTATTGTGACGCTACTTAATGGTATTTAAAGTTCATTTTGGCCATTTGTCTATTTGAGTGGTTAACACACACACACACACACACACACACACACACACATACACATACACAGAGAGACAGCGATTTTTGCATTGATGTGCGCACTTTTAAAAACTATTCAGTATATTTATATAGATTTTTCTCGTTGTAGCTGCGATGTGCAGCTATTTGTTGTTGTTTATATATAATATATATATATTTGTATGTGTGTATATATATGTATATGTGTATGTATGCATATATATATAGATATATATCTAGTTGGAATGTGCTATAAAATGTCGCCGGAATGCGATGTGGTCGATGTTGTTGTTGTTGTTGTTGCTGTTCACTGATGCTGCTACTGCTGCTGTTGTTGTTGTTGTTGTTGCTGTGCGGTTCGTCTGGCGGTGCCAATGCCGAATGCCGCATAGATTCCTCATTACGGTTTTAAAATGCATTTCAATTAACTGCTCACTCGAGATACACTCGCATGGCACACACACACACACACACGCACATACATACACGTGTGTTGAGTGTGTGGCACGCTTGCACTTTCAGTTGTTGTGGCTTCTGTTCTGGCTCCTAAAATATCATCAACATCGAGAGAAAATGTGTAGATGGCCCGAGACGTTCTCAGCTGCAGCCTTCAGCTGTTGTTGTTGTTGTTGTTGTTGCAGTTGCTTCTATTGTTGTGCGGGGCCCCCAGTTGTTGTATTTTGTTTTTGGTTTTCTTTTTCTGTGGCACTTTCATATGATATTCGAATGTGCTGCGAGCATTTAATTAGATGCTCAAGGAATTCGATTTAAAATTCCTTGGCACCCGCCGCTGACGCAGATGCCAGCCGATAGGCCTGAGCAGGCCTAAATTAAGCCAGACGCTGGACAGCTAAGGACAAAGGACTCGAGTGCCGCACGTGTGTGTGTGTCCTGTGATCTGCGCTTATCAGCCAACTGCTATCTGCCGTGTGCAACTTCATTAGATCAGGTGAAAGGTGAACGGCTGCACAGGTAGCCATTGCAGCAGCTCAACTTTGGCGGCTTTCGCTTTGAGAATGAAAGTGAAAACGATGCGGGCGGTCGGGCGGTCGGGCGGTCGGGCGGCCGGGCGGAGAGTGTTTTATCAAATCTGGCTGCAGCTGAGGCTGGCTGCGACTGAGGCTGGCTGCTGCTTGTTTGCACATTAATGGGAATTCCTGGCCGTCAGTGGGGCGAGTGAGTGAATGATGCTCAAAGTTGGCGACGATGACGACTTTTTTGCGCAGGCTGCGCAGCTGAATGGGGCACGCGGCATCGCCAACCAACCAAGCAGCCAAGCAGCCAAACAGCCAACCAAGTCAGTCAGCCAAGAGACAAGCAGCATGAGGCATGAGGCAAGAGCCAACTCAGCCACATCATCAGCATTCAAGGCACACTCACAACGTGCCGTGGCAAGTCGCGACTTGTGACTCGCGACGGCTGCTTCGCTGCATATCCTCAAAGCTGCTGCGTACCCTCAGGAGGAGTCGCCTCTACTCGAGTACTCGATGAGGAGTCTAGCGGCGACTCACTTCTGCAGTTGTTGTGTATATATTTTTCTCTTGAATTGAGTTTGGAATGTTGTCAACGCAAATGCGCCTATGCACTGTGCCTCCGACTCCGACTCCGACTCTGACTCTGACTGTAGCTGTGCCTGTGCCTGTGGCTGTGGCTGTCCCCAGTTGCAGTCCTTGGCACATGTGCATGCATGCATGCATGCCACAGACGCCAGCCAGCCAGCCAACCAAAAGTTGTTGCTATTTTCGGCAACAATTTTCAAGAGGCAACAGCAGCGGCAACGGCAGCTCCATTACACTCCACACACTCCACACACATAATGGAGATGTCTGCGTGTTCGTCTTTGCGATTTCATAAGCGCGTAGATTTACAACCATTTAATACAAGTGATGATCCTGAACAGGGCAGCGACAACAAACATTCCGCTCAGTTATTTGCAACAAGCCGTGGCGCCGACGACACAACACGTCGAGTACGTGGCTCCCTCAGCAGCCATTTGCGATTGCATCCCGGCTGCTGCTGCTGCTGCTGCTCACTTTATCATTATGCACTTGAATTGACTGGGGAATGGGGAATGGGGATGGCTGGCACTCCTCGAGTTTTGACCTATTAGAGTTGGGCGATTCGATTGGCAACTGGTTTGGCTCTCATGCTTTTCGATCTCTCCTCTTTGCAGATGGCAGCAGCCCAATGTCGAGTCGCAATTTCCCACCATCGTTCTGGAACAGCAATTACGTGCATCCCATACCCGCCCCCACGCATCCACAGGTAAGTGTCGGCTGCATAAACAATCGGCCACAAAAGCCGAAAAGCCGCAACGATTAACTGCAATACGTGCCGCAATTACCCAGCCACTCCGGCTCAGCCAGCTGCGGCACGCATTCGCAAAATAAGTTGTAGTTCGATTTGCTCACTCACTCGCCCATCGGCGATATCTCTCTGCTTCGACCCTTCCAGGTTAGCGACTTGTACGGCACCGCGACAGACTCGGGCTACGCCGCAGATCCCTGGGTGCCGCATGCGGCCGCCGCGCACTATGGTTCCTACGCGCATGCGGCGCATGCGCATGCAGCCCACGCGCATGCCTACCACCACAACATGGCACAGTACGGCAGCCTGCTGCGACTGCCCCAGCAGTACAGCCACGGCACAAGGTGAGCCCAATCGCAAGACACTGCTAAAAGCATCAAATAGTTAACATGACTCTATAAATGAAATTAAGCTAAATGCGCATACTAAATTATTAAGTAAAAGTCAAGTCTCGATTTCAAACTAAATTAAAGTAAATTCACAAACTAAAATAGAAATTCGGTTTCTGTTCAATTTAAATATATATATGGAAAAATCTCATAGCTCCAGTATGGATAGATAACTATTTATGTCAATTATGCAATAATATTCAGTATGTAGTAGATTGCTTAAAAACTTTTTAGTCATATAAATCTGTTTTCAAATTTATTTATTCTCAAAGAAATTTTATTCATACAAATACAGTTTGCAAATATGAGTCTTATACAACTGCAATCTGTAACATACCATACCTATAAGGTGTATCTCTATCATAAATTTGGTTCTATATATTTTACTATTTTGGGTTTAAGTAATTGAAAAGGGAGTCTTCTTGATTACAAGAAACAGAAACAAATCAAGTATCTAATATATAGATATATTGCCTGTATATGGGATATGCAGATAGAGAGAGATATATTATATTAATTTATTATATTATTTATTTTATTTATTTATATTATTATTATTATTCTTATTATATTTCTTACATGATTTTTTATAGATGTACAGAAACGAACTAAATTATATATCTATTAGAAATAAACTTGTCAAACGAAGCTCTTCACATAAAAAAGTTCCCTTTGATTTTCTTATGTGGGAATAAATATATATATACAGTAAAATCCCGATAATTCGAAATGGCAAGATCAGTTTTTTGTTCGATTTACACAGAGAATTATCAGAAAATTAAATTATCGAGAATTATACAGAACATATTCCTTTCAAGGGGATAAAACTTAAAAATTTAGCGGGGTACAAATTATCGAGACTCGACTGTCTAAAATAACAGCCAATAAATAAAGAGTCAACGATAATAAAACTTTTTTTAACACACATATAATATTAATAAATAATAGTAATATTATATAATTATGTCTAATACAATATTTTATGTATCAAATAATATTATAAGTATATGTATGCATAATTGATAACAACTCAATGGCAAGTACTTGGAAACAATTTCAAGTATTTGCATCTGCTTAAGACTGAAGCAAACACAAACTTAAATTCTCGATCTGGTTTTTGCATATCTTTCGCAATGGGAAATCGCTTTGTTCGGCATCGGCGCAGACTTCACCACGACCAGCAGACGGCACATGCCCTGGAGAGTGCGGCAGCCTACTCGAGCTATCCGACCATGGCAGGTGCGTACTCACTCGACTCCACTGGCCACAAGGACTCGAGGCATGCTGGCCATTGTCATGGCAATGGCCATGCCTTGACCTCTGTTCATTGTGATTGTGTTTTAATGAAATGTCTTTTATTTCTCTTTTATTTTTTGGCTTTTGGTTTTTGGCTTTGCTGCTCTTTGTTGGCCACAACAAAAAGGTCTGGAGGCTCAAGTGCAGGAATCGTCAAAGGATCTGTACTGGTTCTAGGCGACAGGCGGCCAGTGTTATCCCACGCCACGCCACCAGGTGTGAGGGGGAATTCTCGTTGATGTACAAATGAATGAAAGTGACACTCAACAAATAATGCAAATCAAATAAATAAATAAAACAGCAGCAGGCAACCCAAACAACAAACAATAAACGGAAGCTCCGCTAATATTAAGCTATAGTATGCATAAATCAAGAAGAAGAAAAACCCAAACACACAGAGCTGAGTCCTAACCCCACTTATACATACATAGATACATGTAAATGTATACTATAATATATCGAACAATTTAGATTCCGTTAAACGTTGCTGAAATCTGATTAACAATAAAGGATAATTATGAATTGTTTGTTTGTAATTAAAGTGAGTCTGTGAGGATTAAAATCTACTTTTACTCTTAAATATTTGTAAAACAATTCGCGTATTAAAAATTGTGTAATTTTTGTATTCTATTGTATTGTATTGTACAACCGCCCCCCTACCATAATTTTAGCATCCCATATCAGCAAGTTAGACACGCATACATATAAATTATAAAGATATATACCTATATATATATATATATATATATATAATATAATATATAACACATATATATATATATATACATAAATATATATATATACATATATGTATTCTTATGCATAATCTGCGTTAGAGTTTTTTGGTAACAATTTACTACAGCGATAATAATAATTATAATAATTATAATAATAATATTAATGAGACACACTAATGATAATAATCAACATTTCTTGTATAGTTAACGACTTGGACATAACGATTTGAAAGCTAGAATTTATTTTGTTTAATATCTTCAAATTTCAATTTCACAAATTAGGTTATACAAATTGAAATGCAAATGAAAAACAACAACAACAACAAATGCAACAAAAAAACACGACTAAAATAAAAACAATTTGAATACAATCAAAATGCGTGTTCTTTTTATTTAATATATACATATGTATATATCTATATAATATATATTTTTCTATACGGCTTAAAAGAGATCCTAAGTTCTTATCTCTACCAATAGTAAGTATTTTATTTATAAAGTAGTCACATATGGCAACTGCCTGAGCATACATGAGTTTCTAATTGGAATAATTAATCAATCATAATCTAGTTGACGGATATACGCAGCTGCCTAATAATCGGTAAAATAAAATATCGACATTTCAGTTAAACTATCATTGGGCTTTATAGTGGGTTTTTTTCAGAACTGACAGTTTGTTCAATCCGCAAATCAATCAGCTTTTTTATCTTACATGCATATAAACTGAAAAGACTTCAGCTCCGATTTCACTAGAAATATTATATTAAAACTATTATACATGTCAGCATTGCTTGATTTATTATACTCAGAGTAAATATATCTATAAGATCGATTATAAGAAGAAAATATATATGACTATATAAGCGATGGCAAGTCAAATAGACGGAAAGTTCTACTCAATATACGAAGAGGAATCAAAAATGACCAAGGAATCAAAAATAATCATCGATACTTTGTAGACGTTCATAAGAATTATTAATATTTTAAGGGCTCGCCCTTCGGGTAACTGCCTATCCAGCTAAATGCCCGGCTCGCCTTTCAATCGGCTGCGATTAGAATCAATGTTACATAACATAATCAAACGAACGATTGCTTCTGACTGCGCTCGCATCCTGCCAGGCCGCAATATCGCGGTCATAATTTATGCAAACAGTCGACTAATGATGCCATTCGAATGAGGAAAAGGGGGGAAGAAGGCTGAACGATGAGCGCGCTCCGCTCTGCGCCAAGCGATATGAATCAAGAAACAAATTTAATAAACGTTCATATCACATGTTCATGTTTTCCACGCCATTTGGCCAGGCGCCTTATTAATCTCGAGCTATTTATCATCGGGCAGCGACTGCGGGGGCCCCAACAGCCAACCAGATGCATAATTAATGAAAAACAAATCTCAGATAGGCGCTGCAGTCATAAATAAGACACACATTGGTGGACGCCACTGTTGCTACTCGAAGAGCTCTACGCTCTAGATACAGATACAACTGGAGATACACAGATACAGCAATACAGATGCAGGGCAGTCACTTCCTGAGTTGGCTGGACGTTCTTATTGTTATTGCTATTATACAATACGATGAAAGGCGCGTAACATATTATTGACTTTCAATGACTTATCGCGCAGTTGGTCAACTTTGCGCCCTCCATCGAGCCTGAGCTCAGTCAGCCAGCCAGCAAGGCAGCCAGACAACCATGCAACCAGGCAGATCCTCTCCTGCTCATGAATTAAAGATATGTACAAACGCGCGACATGCTCCCGTGTGCGTATTTACATCAAGTCTTTTTGCCACTGCCCGGCCAGAGCAGAGCAGAGCAGAACGGACCAGAGCAGAGACCAGGCCGGACTGGTTCCAGCTCAGACTCGGCCTCTGCCTCTGGTTGGGCTAAGAGAGCGAGAGCGAGAGCGGAGCCAAGCTGACGCTTGGTCAACAAATTTATTACCGATCGATGGCTGTGGCAGCCGTGGCCACATTATTTTAGCATAAGAATTCCATAATTCGAGACACTGCTCCGGCTGGGCCCCTAGCGTCGCCAAGGTGTTCAACAATTCGCCAATGCGTTTGCCCTGGGTTTATCGCTTTTTAATAACTGCACGGTCAGTGTTTAAATTTGTTTTTGCTTCAGTTTCTGTTTCAGTTTCGGTTTGTGCTACGGTTTCTCCTCCTGCACCTTTGTTTTTTTTTACGGCGTTGTCACTCAACTTTGGCATACGACAGATGGTTCCGCTTTTCCGTTTTTGGCGGCACTTCCTTCTTCCGCTGGGCCAGGCCAACTCGACGACATATGACTGAGGCCCAGCAGTGAATCTGCTTTAGCAAACATCTCAAGTTTATTGTCGCATTGTGTGCTAATGAGCTGCTCTGCCATGAGAATCGGCTACTCCAAGAGACTTGAGTACGTCAGACCCTATATCTAGGGTTTGGGTTGGAGTGGGTCAAATGGGGTAGGGCAGCAAATTTCAAGACATTGTAAAAGTTATAAGGCAAAGCGATTAGCAATAAACATATTTGTATATACATATACTTAAATATATACATATACATATATTGAATAGAGACAATGAGATTAGGAGTAGAACTTAAGGAAGAGCACTTTACATAAAAGACATAAAAAGAGTGATTCAGGTTACTAAAGTAAAGAGAGTATAAAGAAAGGTTTTACAGAAAGGATGAAATTAGATAAGAAATAACGAAATAATAAAATATAGACGAAATTAAAAGTGAAGAGTAAGTGATGCGAGTCCTCCAGGAACAAAAGAGAAGGAGAATAGAAACGCCGTCGAAAAGTCAAGCAATTAAAAGACAAAAGGTAAGAAGACAAAATGTGCGAAAAAACAATGAGGAAAATATATGCATATATGTATTAGAAAATATAAAATAAGTAATAGAGCAAATCATGATAATCTAGTATTAATAATAATACATATATAACATAAGTATCACACAATACACAAACTTCTAAATATATCTGAAATTAAAATTACAAATACTACTGTATAATTTTTGGTTGCATTTCTACAAGATACCTTAAATCCACTCAAAGACTGAAATTGACAATGATATGAAATGAGACTATGAACTGTGCTGTCTGGCCGACTATGAGGATCTCGCAAGGGAGAAGGTAAAATTGTTAAGCATTTTATAGAAGAGAATCAACTTATGCGTCTATGTTTATAATGCTGAATATGGGCATAGTGAGAGCATACTTCAAATATATATACATAACTTCATTGCATTACACATAATAAAGTATAGAACTATGCCCTGACAGTTTGGTGACTATAATATTGTGATAATGGTATTACTGTTTGCAATTTAGCATAGCTGAAAATTGTAGCTGACTCATATAGCAATATTAATAGACTAAGTTTGTACAATTATAGTGAGAGAACATTTAGGGAATATTTGAAATTAAAATTATAAATAGATAAAATAAATTTAAATATAAACTAAAATTATAAATAATTAATTTCTAACGTTTTTACTCACATTTCTGTTAGAATAAGATTTCACACTTGGGATTCTATTTAAAGATTTGTGCATACAAATTATTGAATTAGTCAGATGAAAATGGGAAAATGGGAATTTCTCGAATTGAATGAAAATTAATTTGGCTGCAGATAAACAAAAGAACTGTGAGAGATGTCAGCGTCAACAGATTGTGGGACGTGTTAAATTATGCCAACAGAAGGAGCCCGAACAAAGTTGATAATAAATAAGATGGAAAAACAATAATAATAAAAATACGAAAACAACAACAAGAAAACGAAGAGGCGATAGGAATATATAGTATATATATATACGTACTACGGGGCATAGACACAGACATAGATACAGGCGCGTGCAGCGTGAACTATTGGAACTTTGACATCGCAGTTTATGGCCACCGAATGTGCGTGGATCGGTTCCATGCCAGCTCGTGCCTGTCCCCCAACCCGAACGGGCCTTGCCACCCCCGTGCCGTGGCCATTACCTTGCGCTCTAGCCACAAACGCAAACATAAATAAACAACGGATCCGGCGGGAGTCGAATGTTTTCTTTGGGGCATTCGCTAGGCGTTCCGTTCTAGATTTACGCTTGCCCCGCTGGCACGCAGCGATCGACTCGGCTCGGCTCTTAAATGCTTAACGGCCAATCGTAAATTTGATCGCAACTGTAGAGCCAGCTAATTGAGAGTGGGTGAGGAGAGGAGAGAGCAGGGCATAAGTCTAACTGCATTGCAGCGCCCATTCAAGATGTCCTTTGCCCCGCTCTGCAAACTGCAAATGCTGCAGCCGAAATCAATTTATAATTAACGTAGAATTAACACATTTCGACCACATGTTTGCTCATTTGCTGCATGTCCGTCCATTGATCCCACATGCAGCGCTGATTACGGCCAGCCAGCCAGCCAGCCAGCCAGACAGACAGAGAGTCATCCAATCATGCTGCATCAGCTACTGCTATACAGCTACAGCTTCTGTGGTTCGCTTTGCCGCAGAGCAGCAGAGCCGCAGCCGCAGCCGCAGCATCCGCATCCATGTGGCGTCACCGGCTCCT